TGCTGAACAAAAATTATCCAACAAAGCTAATCACATTAGTTAACAAAGGCATCAGTATTCACCCAAGTTTCTCTAGCTAACAAACACATTAGTAGATGCCTGGACCTTTGGCTTCCTGGTTTGTTTTGTCAGGAAATATTTCAAGTGATGATTTAAACACTGATGAGAAAAAATTATTAAGGAAGGGCTTCAGCAGTAGTGGAACGTGAACCTCTTTGTAGAACTTCATTGTTTCTGGGATATCTGTGTAAGGCTCTGAAGGTAAAGTAATTGTGCTTCTTTGTTTTACATTCTCTGAATTATATGCTAACAAGGTAAACTAAGCAATGGACCGACCTCCCAAAATAACTGCATTACACATCACAACTGGAAGTTGAGTGAAATAGTAGTATGGCATTTACTGCAAATTTCTCAAGAGAAGGCCTGATTAGATAGCTCATATTCAGCCTGCATACGAGGACACAGGAAACTGTGCAGAATGATAATAAATTTTCCCATCCAGGGTAGGCACAATTTTCCATAATTACAGTACAGAAATAATATTTTTCATGGATAAACATAAGGATCCCTCAAACAACAGCAAAAACAAAGGAAATAAATAAACTTAAAACGACTATTTAAACTGTGGTTTTATGTAAGGATGAATTTTCATCATCACTGCCGAAAAATTTATTCTCACTAAACCTCTCTGAGGTTTTCTGCTATCTACCTGCTTCCTTTTCAGATACCCCTGGAGAATACTACCAGAAAGCTTTGTACACCGCATTTCCTTGCTGACAGGTATCCTGTTTGTTCTGTTGTAATTCAGGACTCACAACGGTTACAGCTTGCACAGCCTCAGTTTCCATTGCTTTGTACTCAGTTTCACAGATCAGGCACACTGAAATCCTAATCTTTGCTATCTTCTTGTGAGGTCCTTGCAAATACCATTTGTTTCATTCTGGGAACCAGCTGTAGCCTGTACACCAATTAATTTATCTGGAGGAACACTGTATAGATTTAGCAAGCTCAGGTTTCTTATCTTTCTTCCGCCTGGGTTTGTGAATTGTCATTTAAAAATTTTCTCATGGGCCTTTATACTGTATAGCTCTCTCATCTTATTACAGGCTTCAATTTCTCTAGTAACGGCATGCCCATATGGTCAAGTTTGAACTGTAGAGTGATAGTCAGGTGAGGCCCCAAATGAGACCTGTTGGAGTCTCTTGGCTCCTACTTGACCATCTGCTGCACTGGGGTGTGCTGGGCACCCAGTGCTATTTCCACAAGCCAGTGAGCGCCAGGCACCTCGCTTGTCTCCATCCCTTGCCGCAGTATCACAATTTGCACTGCAATGCAAAGGCCCTCGCCAAACCTTTCTTCAAGCCCACCTGGTCACTGATAGGGATGAAGTTCATTGTTGTCATAATGTAAAACACGGAATTTCAAATCTCATTTTGAATATATCCACAATCAAGATAAGCCACATATTTCCCTTTGAAAGTGTTTGTTGTAAGAAGACAAAGGCAATGACCATCAATGGAAACAAATTGGTAGTATTTTTCATTCAGACTGAACTCTAATCCCTTATAAGGGCACCCCAGAACCATTAACAGTAATTTCAAATGAAATATACCCATGCTAAATCTAGCTAATCAGCTCCTCAATTATACTGGCAGAAAGATGTATTCCAATTACCCAAGTACTTTCAAGTGAATTAAGACTTCTTTCTGTACTGGCTGAGGAGGTCACTGAACGTTCCCATGAAACCTTGCATGTTTACATTTAAAAAGCACACCATGATCTTTGGCAAAGGCACTTGCTCTAGGTTAGGTCTGCTTTTGAGCTTGTTGCCATAAATACAATAGAAAACCATCCAACCATTGCAAAAGAAGTCAAGAATATACTTCAATACTTTCTTTCTGTATCTGTGATTAATCCAAATTACACAGAAACACCTTTATAAATGTGAAATAAACTTTAAAAAGCTGAAATTCCAGATACCTTAATTACCGTGTTTAATAAGCATAGAGTTCATGTTAAAAAGGCAGCTAGGTTTTGAAGAAATGGATCATGCCTAACTCATGTGAGAACGTTCACAACTGGGACCTCAACTTTACAGTCTGCTTTCTCTACCTTTACACTGCTTCCTTGGACTTCCTAAATCTCTCTCTACCCCTTTTTCTGAAATTTCTTCTCATTGCTAGCACAGGGCTACAGCCAGCATCACAGAATCACAGAATCACAGAATCGTTTAGGTTGGAAGGGACCTCTGGAGATCATCTAGTCCAACCTCCCTGCTCAAGCAGGGTCCTCTAGAGCATATTGCCCAGGATCCCATCCAGACGGGTTTTGAATATCTCCAGCGAAGGAGACTCCACTACCTCTCTGGGCAACCTGTTCCAATGCTCTGTCACCCTCACAGTGAAGAAGTTTTTTCTCAGGTTCAGATGGAACTTCCTGTGGTTCAGTT